AACCAGATGGGTATTTGCCCGTTTACATCCGTTTTACTCTACTACTACTATGTTGAAAATTGAAGAACAAAGACTCGCTCGAGTAGTCCTAATTCAGGCGAAGAATGTGTCGTTTTTTCTTATCAAAACCATTTCTGTCCTAATTATACAGGGTTATTCACGCTATACGGCACGGAAGTTTGCGGCTAAACCGTCTGATTTTTAAAAAGTATTATTTTATGAATCCACAGACGCCTGTCGGGTGCACAATTTAAAAATATTTGTGTAATGTACAGGGTTTCCCAAAAGTTCTAAAGGTATCAAAGTTGCGTTTTTTTAAATGGAATGTCCTGTATGTTATTGCATTTTTGGATTCGCTGAACAAACTAAGTGTCTGTTCTAATAAGGTTTATAATACCTAAATCTTAAGGTTTTTTAAATAATACGACATTAATCAAAATCTAATCTAATTTTCACGCATCAAATACTTTAGAAGTATTTAAGTTATGTAAGCGTAATTTATAGTGGAGTGTAACAAGATGTACTATTTTATGTCCCAATGATAATAAACTTACCATGTTATACAGCGTGTCCACAAATTTAAACTAATCAAATAAGAACTTTAAGTGGTTCTAACTTGATTCATTTAAATACAACCCCATATTTTTTAACTTACCAGTAAATACAACTTTTAATTACCTATATATAATGGTATTAGGATGTTAATAGCTAAGTTTTTGTCTTTTTACAAAATACATCAAATAGTCGTTCTGTGCACCATTTGGTGATGTTTAATTAGAGGTTCCAATGTATCTAAGTTGGCTATGCCATTTACACATGTCAAATCATTTATTTTATTTGTCAGAGTGGTATTGCTTTTTCTAATTGTAGACGTGTTGGTCGTTATTTTAATATTATTATTGTGTTGCTAAGTGAAAATGAAGAATTATCCAAGAGAAGAGCGTATTGACATGATTTTCACCCTTGGAGAATGTCATAAAAACTGTTTATTGGTTTCTCGAGTTTATCTCAAAAGTTTCCTGAAAGAAATCATCCTATGCCAACAGTTTCTAAGCGCTTATTACACCAATTGGAGGAAAGTGGGAGTGTCAATTATAAAAAACTCATTACAGGCAAATCTGTCACTGAAGATGAAGAAAATGTTTTCACGGTAATTGGTTCAGTTATCGAAAATCCCAATGTTAGTTAAAATCTAATATCCAAAAGTACTAACAT